TAAGTATTTAACAAATGAACAAATCTTGACGGGAAAACAGTCTAGTGTAATATTATCTTTCAATGACTGCAATCTAAAGGAAGAATATTTTTTATTACAAAATCCAAAAATGTTCTCTATGGTCAACATATCTAACATAATCTAAACTAGCTTTTTTTAACAGTTTTATCTTTAGATTGGATCGAATAACACCTTCATACATAGCTCTTAATAGAGAGTGTCCTTACATTGAATAACCAGTTAAAATCCACATTTTGATGCGAAATTAGATTAAAAGCTTCTGCATGTTTCGTTTCACTGATAAATATTTAAATAACTTAAACGCCACAGTTCCCGCCCGCTATAAGATTAGTTGAAAATATCTTGACCTCCTTGGGTTTCGTCTTTCTTGGTTAGTCGTGCATTTCTAATAGAACCTCCACCCATTTTAAGTACCACACTTAAGCAACGTTTTCATGTTATTTAATAACCGTACTTCATCCATTATAGAGAAAGTAGACCAGATGATCTAATATCAGTCGAGTAGTTTCATTCAAAACTGTTCTTCAACGAGGCAGATGTCATTTCATGGCCTCAATAACACATGCTCTGAAACGTCTTCTCTTAAGGACACATAAACCCGAATGTTTTGATACCCAACGCTTATTCTACTTTTAATCTTGAAACCACAACGTATCACCTACATTTAAAGCCTAGAGAAATAAAGTAAAATAGTTATAGTTTGTATAGCTGAAATGGTTTCAAACAATTCATTTCCAGCTAATTGGATGATCCCGTCAATATTCCTGTAAAATATAAAATGGTTATTTCTGAATCTTGAAGGTTAAACTTTGCTTGTCTGTGTCAGATGTGCAGGAGTGAGTGTTTAAGTGTCTTAAGCCTTATTAGCCAGTAAAACGTGTAGTAGCATAAGTACACTAATACACTGTAGCTAAAACAACAATGTTATGTAGTAGCATAAGTACACTAATACACTGTAACTAAAACAACAATGTTAGGTAGTAGCGTAAGTACACTAATACACTGTAGCTAAAACAACAATGTTAGGTAGTAGCATAAGTACACTAATACACTGTAACTAAAACAACAATGTTAGGTAGTAGCGTAAGTACACTAATACACTGTAGCTAAAACAACAATGTTAGGTAGTAGCATAAGTACACTAATACACTGTAACTAAAACAACAATGTTAGGTAGTAGCG